CATCAACATTAAATAAAATTAAATTACAGGTCAGCAAAGAAACTGAAGCACAAATGCACACATAAAAATAAAAAAAGGGAGAAGAGAAAAAACGCTATTTCTACACTATTAAGGAGGTCTAAAATAGTTAAATTTATAAATGAATACAAAACATTAATATAAGAAGAACTTGAAAAGGTGACAGAATTTAAGAAAAGACTAATTTACAGGTAATTTGGGAAACAACACAACTGCTAATAAGAATACAAGTAACCAATAATCTTTGACAAAATTGCTTTCTACTGATTCCTTGAAGTTTGAAGTAGAGAAGGTTTTCAAATTTTCACCCATTTAGTTCCATACTTTGGGGCCCTTACATTTTATGTTAAATATTCCATATTTTTCTCTTACTTTAGGTAAAGTATAGAACTCATTCGAAGCACTTCTTCTATTGTGATTATGACAATTGACTTGTGTGAAGAGAGTATGAAAAACAGATGATAGACGTCTATTGTGGAATTTATACATAAAACTGTGATTTTAAGAAAGACAAGGTCAGGCAGTTAAGCAATATTTAAGCATTTGAGAATTGGACTAGAATGCTCATGAAATTCAGAGAAAGTCATCTCTCATATTGTTCTCTTTTGTAAAATGAACAAAGGCTGGGTAGTTTAGGAATAGGTGTTACCCAATATATATTAAGGCATAATATAGTTTAACCAGAATATCTGAATTCACATAAAAACAAAGTTTAGAAAGAATCCCAATATTTCACTAAACCTTTTTCGCAATATAGCTTACTTAGCTTTTCCAAGAAAAATTAGAATCTATTATAATACTCTTGGTTTAAGTTAATGCCATTTCAAGAGAGTGTGACATGAAAGGGTAACTTTCTTTGTGGAGGGTGGAAAATGACAACGTTTGACCTATCAATATTTAGTGGAAGTTTGTTAGCACTCAACCAAGTATGAATATTTACTATATCATTGTTTACTTTGGATTCAAGGACTTTAAGATTTTTGTTTTTATAAAACAGATTGGCGTCACCTGCAAATGAATGAAAATCTAGAATTTCAGAGCAGTTACCAAAATCATTTATTTAATACAAGAAATAATAGTGAGCTGAGAACTGAGCCATGAGGAACACCACAACAGACAGGTTGAGGTTGGTTTGCCCCAAGGAAACATATTGATATCTGTAGGTAAGACAAGAGATGAAACAATCTTTGGTTACACCATGAACGCCATACTGATAAAGTTTTTCAATCAAGATATCATGATTCACAGTATCAAAGGCTTTACTGAAATTCAAAAATATACCACAAGAAAATTCCTGGCAGTCAGTTGGATGTTGAATCAAGTCAATGATGCCTAGAATAGCATGATCCATGGAGTGTTTTGCATGGAAGCCAAACTCCTCACAATAAATAACTTTTCTCTTCTCCAGAAATTCTAATACTTTTTTATGCATTAACTCCTATAACAGCTTGTTGAATATTGAGAGAATAGAAATGGGATGATAATTATTTAACTTGTTTGCACCTCTTTTTAAAAACAGGGGTAACTTCAGCTATTTTATTAAAATCAGGCACAATTCCAGTCGAAAAAGAAGCATTGAATATTATTTCTAGAGGTGCAGGTACAACATGTTTGGTAGCTTTTGAAATAGCAATTGGTATGCTGTAAGGCTCAGTAGACTTATAATATGTGCCCATGTATAATATGCACCCTGATTTTTGACCAAATTTTTCATGACAAAAAGCTTACACAACAAAAAACAATTCTTCCTACAATATTTATCGAGATAACAATACTTACACTACAAAAACTTCGAAATTACTTGAGTACCGGTGACTAATTACAAAAAGGTTGACAACAATAACAAACAGCCTTGCAAAAAAAGAGTTTCTACGCGAAAAAAACCTTCAAAATCAGACTCCGAGTCTGACTGAAAAGGTCGGTCAAAATCAAGTTCCCTATTATTTATATTGTCCTTGGTTGAATTGTAGATCCTTGAAGGGCTTTTTTCAAGAGACAGCCAAAGGCTGCAGAAGTGAGGTTAAACCTCCAAGAATTAAAGCAAGGTCTCTGTTTTCTCATTTGAGGGAAGCTTTTACCGTGTCAGTCAAGTGCACCTGAAAAGCATCATAAACAAGTGGCTTACGTCTTCTCCCCAGGCCTTCCCTTTGCAAACGCCATGCTTTCTAAGTCAGCCTTTTTCCTGGGCTGACACGACAACTCTGTGCTTATTACTGATCTTCAGAAGGGTTTTCCTTTTGAAGATGACCATTGGTTTAACTTTCGAACCATCTCCACAGCCAGGCCACTCTAACAGAATTCTTTTCATTTCCTGTTGTGCAAATTTTTATGGTTTTCCCGCCTGTGTTGTTGATCATGCGATGTGGTGGCATGTCAAACAGTAGCGAAGTTTCATCCATCTTAGCAATCAGGTGTAGAGGGTAACTCTTCTTTGCGGCGATTGAGGATGAAGCGATGAAACTGTGCAATCTTCTGATAATCATTGAAAAGTTATTGCACTAAAGTAGTTTTCTGCTGAAGTGATAGGCTGTTCCTCTTCTTAAATCGCTGGCACCAGTGATTGCCAGCTTTGAACGCTCTGGCAGGAATGTTGTATTTCTCATCTTTGGCGAGCTCAAGTGCTTTTATTCGAACAAGGGAAGGAAGGATAGCTAAGCCATTCTTTCTCTGCTCTATAATCCATGCCCAAAGATTGATCTTCAACTCCTGCCACGCGGCTTTCTTTCCACGGTTTGTATATTTCAGTCAAGGCATTTTCTCTAAATCCTCTTTACTTCTTTGTCATAGCCTGATGTTGCTTTCTGGTTTCCATTTTGTTTAGCAAACTGGACAATTCTCAGCTTGTTAAAAACTGTGTAGCTCTGATGTTTTGCAGTGGTAAGTTTCATTGGCATGATTACAGCAATACGGTATAGTTGTGATGTTTATCTCGTCTGCTGTTTCCTGAATACTCTACTAAATTTATTCATGGATCGAAATTGAAAATGTTTTGTTGGTAGATTATTTAACTCAAGCTAATGAGACCAATTACTATGAGGGTTTTTTGCCTTTGTTGTTGTGTTTGTGGATCAAAAATGAAAATGTTTCATTGGTGGATTATTTAACTCAAGCTAATAAAGACCAATTACTACTAGGCTTTTCTTACTTTCTTTATTATGTTTTTAACATATGCAAATTAAGTCTTGCTTGACAAACAATAGAATCTGTGTATAATACGCACCGCGATTTTGATGGTTATTTTTACAGAAAAAAAGTGTGTATTATACATGGGTAAATATGGTATATTAAAAGATATGAAATAAGACCCACCTATGTCAACACGTGTGCCACCAGTAAGCCGTCAAATTAAATTTATCACAATACCTCTGCCATGTATGATATGACATGGTGTCCTATTTGGAGGAATAAAGGTCAAAAGATCTTTGGACTAGAGGGTCCCGTTGGTCCATTTCACATCACTTGTTTTCTCTTTACAGTCTCTTTTCTCTTTACAGTCCCATCAATAGGCAAATTGTTAAACAACTGAGTAGATAGAGCCGACAACTGAGCATCTTTGATATTTATAGTTATGAAGTAATTATTCTCTAACTCAAACACTTTAAGCTTAATTTCAATTTCAATTGAATTTATTGATGCTAGTATATTACAGTTTGACATCTAATGTTTGCAGATAGCAACAGCAAGTCAAGGTGGGCAGTTATTTCACACAGGTTACGCATTTTAGTTGAATTTTCACCACGAAGTGAAAATTCGTGGTGGAAGGTGTCTTTTCAATCATTTGTGTCCAACATTTGGCTTCAAACTGACAGTAGACCACCACTAGTGATCAGGTTTGTTAACCATTCATGTAAGCAACATGAAATATTTCTAGACATATTTCCAACCGTTTTCAGCCACCACGACATAGGCACTTAATATCTGAGACTAAACACAATAGACAAAAGGACAAAACACCAAAGTTATTACATCCTATTCTGGGCTTGATCTGTGTATGACAACAAAAGTTAATCAAGTAAATTGTCCCAAGTGTCTTACAGTAATTCTAAGATATCTTTTTACCTTGCTGAAATTATCTCCCAGATGAATCCAGTTATTTTGCCCATCAACTTCAGTTTCTTGCTGTTTAAACAGGCCTAAACCATCATATCTAATTCAGAGGTCGATCAATTTTACAATAACAAATGTAAATTGGTATGAATAGCAGTTGCGACCAAGAGAAATGTATTTCGGGGAAATAAACTCTCAAATGATTGGAATAATTTTTCAAATTAACTTCAGTACTCTGCTTTTTAATCAGACAGAGCAGAGAACATGTTTAGAGTGTTTTCAAACATTTTCTATTAAGAACTGCAGTCCTTGCTTATTTGTTCTCAATCCCCATGCAAACAGACATCACTCATATTGCTGACTGCAGTATGCTTTCCAGAAATCACAAGATCATGTTTGTTTGGAAATATTTATTCGTTACAATCTATGAAAATAAAAAACGATACCTTCTGAGTGCATACAGTGTTTAAGCATTTACGTGGCCCTTGTTTGTTTTGATTGTTAAACAAAGAGGGTGAAATTCATTACATTTTCCAGCAAAACACTGAATACAAATGAGTGACAGCAGAAAACAACTATTATTTTTTCACATTGCCCTATTTTGCGTAGATTCTGGCATCTTTTGCCAATACTTATTTTGCACTGTTCCCACATCCGAAGAACGTCTTCCTTGCCCTGACATTCGTGAGTTTACTATGCTGTGACTAAAGAAGACGCTGTGGTCTGTGGTCTGTCTTGGTGGTTGCGTGGGGCCTGGCGGCTTGTATGGAAAATATTTTAAAATCGATTCTGGTTGCGACGATGCAACAAATCCTATTGGTGGGAAAATTTCACAATGCGCCAGTTTGAGATCAGCTCACCAAACATCGCAGCCACATGAGCAAGCACAGTACATGGAAAGTTTCTTAGCCTTTTTTCTTTTGTAATAAGAAATTATGACAAAGTTGAGAGAGACCAGGATCTCCCTTCTTTATGTGTACGTTTCAAGTGTCGTAAATGATGAAGAATTTGTCTTGCTGTATGATATCAACACTGCAAAAACCCCTGACTTTCCCTACTGGAATTACGAAGCTTTTGAACTCAACATGATGTCTGATGATGAATGCCAAGCTGAATTTCACTTTTATAAGAATGATGTGTATAACTTAAAGGAAGTCTTGAATCTTCCAGAGAAATTTACATGCTACAATGGCTTAAAAATAGATGGCATTGATGGTCTCTGTATCTTTTTGAAACGATTTGCTTACCCTTGCCGCCATCTTGACATGATTCTAAGGTTTGCTAGGCCCATGTCTCAACTTTGTATGACTAGTAATTTGGTTATGGATTATCTATATGCACACTGGAACCATTTACTAACCTCGCTCAATCAACCTTGGCTTTCCCCTGATAATTTGTAGAACTTTGCTAATGCTACTTTTCAGGCTAGCAGTGCTTTGGAGAATTGTTTTTGGTTTTATGGACAGAATGGTGAGGCCTGTTTCCCAACCTGGCAAAAATCAAAGAATTCTGTAAAATTTCAGTCCATCACGGTTCCAAATGGTCTGGTAGCTAATTTGTTTGGCCCACTGGAGGGAAAACGACATGACAGTTCTGTTAGCTGAATCTAACTATATAACCAACTGGAGCAATGTGCTGTTATCATAAAGGGAGACTCATTATGTATTTATGGTGATCCCGCCTATCCCCATCGTCCACAATTGCAAGATCCTTTTAAGGAAGCAAGGCTGACAGAATGAGAAGGGCTGGAATAGTGCTCTGAGTAGTGTGAGGGTATCTGTAGAATGGATCTTCAAGGAAATAATAAATTACTTTAAATTCTTAGACTTCAAAAAGGATTTAAGAGGCCGTGACTGTTAATATCGAGAATCGCTGGCCAGGATGAAAAAATCGAAAATTCTGATAATTTGCCTGGAAAACCCTTTTAGGGAGATATATTAAAAAAAATTTCAATGTTTGAAAAATCAAATGTTTCCGAGAAAATGGGGAAAAAACGAGAATTCGGGTTTTTTACTCAATTTATAATGCAAAAAAATAAAGTAAAATTCAGCAACTTTAACGTGCTAGTACTGAAGGAGGATGTCTCGTAAGAAGTCGAGGGTATTTTTACTTCAAAGAATAATTCGTTTGATTTTTATTTGTGGCATTTTAAAGAGCTTTGGTTTAATTTTAAAATTCACATGATTTTTTAACAAAGTGCTGTCAAACGCTTGTTGCAAAAAGCGAAAAATCGACTAACTTTAAGCTCTCTAAACGTGTCTTGGTATGTGTGGCATCATGTCAAACTACATGCTGGCATAAAGTTTGGTCCTTATACTAATATAATATGAAATAAAAAATCTGGGTAATTCAGAAACGTGCCGGCAAAACGTAAAGGTTTGCGACACACTGTGGCCAGAGGTCACGAATTTGCATGATGCAAATCAGTTGAAGAAATCGTACCACCCAACGGTTTTGGTGTAGGAAGGGCTCTTTTGATGGCTACAACATAAAATTTACAAGAATAATGACTAGTATTTAATAGCGTTTAATTCTTTTTTAAGCCAATGAGTTTTTTTGTTTTATTTCTTGTAACTTTCTAGACGCAAAGCAAAATGTATCAATTGCATGACAATTGTCACGTTGGATCAAAGGTGAAGTTGCCGAGTAAAGCAGACATGATCCTTTTTTCGTCAAAACTCCATTCTAAGGCATCAAGTCCTATATATCTCATTTTACATTATTTGTATAAATTATTTGTATAAATTATTTTATGGGTCTTTATCGAACAACATCCAGCTGGCCTGATCCTGTCTGACTCCAGGCTGACTGCCAAGTGCGGATCAAAGGGGACTTTTTCATTTCTAGTTTGCGCCTTTAATAAGGGGACCGTGGAGCTATGGGTTGAGTGGGCTGTAACCCCACCAAGAACAATTTATTATTATCATTATTTTTATTCATTTTAATCTTTGTGATAAAAAATTTGACAAATTTTTCTCAGGACTGAAACGCGTTTCCGGTGATTTCAGAAGCTCCAGATTTAAAAATTTGCCAGGGGAGCATATCCCAGGACACCCTATCAGCAGTCTTTCTGTACTAAGAAAGGCGTACTAAGAAACAGACAAAAGGAGGCTCTCCTCGGAGGGGAGGCCCGAGGACCCTCATAGATAAGTTGGTGCCAAAGAGCTCACACTACGCGAGAAATTCAATAGCTCTGATCTGATCCAAAATATGGTCCATGGCCCCCGTTTTATATCAACGTTCATATAAAACTCAATTTTTTGAAGCAGCCTTTTTCCATTTGCCTCTTAAACTGCACTGCAAGAGCAGCATCTAATAAGGTCTTCGAGCAGAGCGATGTAAGATGTCTTCTTTCTCTGATCAACCCCAGGTGGTAATGCAAGATTGAAACTCTCGCAAAGGAGTTTTAAGATTGCAAGTTTGAGATTCTTGAGTGTGTTATTCTCGACCATAGAACAGATGTTGAACTGTTGGTAATGAATAGGATGAGTTACATTTAACTGATCAAAAATAGACTCCTTAGCATTTGACAAATTAAATTCTTCCTCCGTAGCAACCAGATCTTGCTCAGTTACAGCTTGTGTGCAGGGGGCTGTCTGCTGTTTCACTTTTGCTGCCATTCTGGAAAAAAATGAAGCTACTTGTTGAGTTTTCAAAAACTCAGAGACACTGAACAAGTGCTCCCCATTTGATCCCTTTGCTCTTCTCATTTCTGTTGCAACCATTTCTGCATCGACCTTCTTGCCACTTTCTTGTCCGATGGTAAATCTAGCAGTTGGATACTCTCGTTGCTTTTCGTTAAACCGGTAGGCTTTCTTTACTTGTTTTAAAGCGAAGCCTTCAGGTGGTGTTACATATCCAGTGCTATGAGGACAGGTTTCTGGAGGTAGAGGAATAGTTGGCACGGCACTTGAACCTTCCTCAAGCCTTGCAGCATATTTAACCTTCACTTTATCAAGAAGTGTCTCCCTTTCAATTGTCTTTGTGCATGTTCCGAACACGAGATGCTTTTCTAGAGAAGAGAACTGTTGGAAACTACGCGTCCAGCCCTCTTTTAGACATGGAAACACTTGATCATTGCCTTTTGCTTCATGGCCATAGTCCTCTTCTTCTGCGGGATCCGTTGTGGAAGTTTTAGTAGCCTCTTTAAGTTTTCTTCCTTGGGGCGATCTCTTTAAATTCTCTGAGGGAAAAAGTAACCGAAATGTTTTGGTAATGGTGTTCTGTGGAAAATAATAACATGAAAGATTAACAACAAAGTCAAACACACCTAAACATTATTCAGAGCGAGATTTCGTGTGTTTCACATTGGGAAAATGGCATTTGGTGAAGCTTGTGCACTGCTACCTAAATGAAGTAAAAGTTTCTTTTTCCAGTATAGTGTTCTAAATAAAAAAAAAACTTGAAATAAATTTTTATAACAAAAATTGGCGCCAGGTTTGATGTTTTCAAGTGGTCTTGATTTCAAGCTTTCCCTCGCTGAATTTTTCAGTCTCAAAACTAAAGAGAGATCATGCTACATTATAGCTAGAAACTGGATAGAGAATATAACGTAAGGTTTACTATTTGTTCCTTCTAAAGAGATGCATTTGCTGGGGCCTATATCAAATGCCTGCCACACCCTCATTCCACTAGGATAAAATCTAAAGTTGTTCAGTTTACTGATGCCATTAATCTTCTGTTGCGTTGGGGGAACAGTTTCAGGTTCCCTAAGGCTGTCTAACGTCACTACACGAATCCCAGGTAGACCCCCATGGGATAGAATTGCGTTTTCCATTTCCTTTGCATTGGTAACATTGTTCCACTAGTTTATGAATCGTGTTATGTTTCCTTTAATTGTTGCAGCCATGCAATCAGCAGGCCCTTTTCTGCCCTGGGGATCTGAGAAGCCTATCTCAGCAATGCGAATTCTATTGTTGGCACTGATGATATAGTATAAGTGCGATGGTAGCACTCTGCGTTGTCTTGATGAAAAAATGCTTGATTGATTTCTGGGTGCTCTGATTTCAAAGTTCTAAGGATATGTGCCATAACGGAGACCACAGTGGAACTTCCTTGGGTGCAGTTCTGGATAATATGTACAAATCCTTGTGACTCAAATTGGTCAGCTCGGCGGTGGACAACAATGGATATATGCTAAGAGATGCCACACTTACCGAGCAAGTCTGACTGAGATTCACGATACTTACGCATTAGAAATTTCATGGCCCAGTCCTGGGCAATAAAGACTGAACCACTATCTAGCTCTTTGAGAATCTTCAATTTAGACTGGTCTTGCCTCACTGTATGGAGCTGGTGAGCCTTCCAGGCATGAATTATGTCCCTGCTGTGCTTTAACAAGTATGTGGCTTTGTCATGATCATTTTTCATGTGAAAAGAAGCTTCTTCAACAGCCTCTTCAATGTCATCTAGAACAGTACCAAGCTCTTCACATTGAAAACAGTGGTCCCCATGGGTATGTTGGCACTTCTGCTGAAAACAGCTGTCACTTGGATCACTCAAAGCATATGACATACAATGATCTGCTATGGTAGCCTCATCATCAACATGCACCTATTAATATACCATTATTTTCTTAGTATGTAAACTCAGAATAACAAAAACTTAAATCACTCGCCCCACCCCTCATTTCAAATATGTACAATGGTTTATTGTTGCTATTAGTTGTAATTTGTGAAAAAGACTTAACGCTTCTAAGTTATAATAGACTGCTTGCAGTCCGCATTTTCTCATCCGTCTAGTTCTTATCTCAGCCAGCGCGATTGCAAACCACAATGTTATCTTCGTGTTCACCGCTTGTGTGCTTGATTTTCATGTGCAGTAACTTGGCAGAGAAAAATAAGAGACTTCTCGCAGTCCAAAGTTATAAAAGTAGCATGAATGATTAGGGCTGAGGTAGGGAAAATCACAAATGTAGGCGGTGTTAAAGTCCACCCTGAAATCAATAAAAGGGAGAGAGAAAAAAAGGAGTTAATGAACTTTAAGAAACCTGTCAATGTTCCATTTTCGAATTTAAAGTTACCGCTAAATACAGACATCACCGACGCACTCATATAAGGTTAGCCTCGACATAAAGTGAAATATTCACAAATTCCGGCAAGCAGGTGTTTGAAATTTAAAAATACACAACAGATAGAGTAACAAACAGGTCTTCTCATTGGATGGGAATTTCAGATGGAGGCTAAGCCTGTAAAAAATACTTCTTCACTTTCATTCAGCGGTCATAGCAATCCCGAAACTGGACTATTATTTCTTTAAGCAATATCTTACCTTGAAGTCCGCCTTTAGGTAAAGTTTTCAGTTCTTGAGCATTCCCTGCCATCCTCTTTCCATGGTATCTTCAACCAGGCCTTTAAGGTGATTTAGGAGTGAAATCATCTTGTCAAATGCAGAGGCTCCATCGGCTGCAAAATAGTCCAGCCCTGGAGGCTCTTTTTGAGCAGCTAATACACGCAGTAGTGTTCTTTTACTGAAAGGGGTAAATCTGACTTCTTCACAATACTGCTTATATTGAACACCAATTTGCTCTGGTATTAGACACCAAATCACATTTGGTACTTCCAATACGTTACCGTTGGACAGGTGTAAACTCTTTTAACAAAAAAGTCATATCTTGAATAATATGTGAGCTTGTAATGAACTGCAAAAAATGGTCAAGATGGGTCTCGTCTATCCGTATCCTCGCTGAAGGCTGTACAGGAACGGGTGTTGCTACTCCATGCTGAAGGCAATGTAAGTTTACCACAGTGTATCTATACTAGGACAGACCGGGAATAAATTCTCGTATGGTAGAAAAACTCACATGCTTTTAAATATTTGGCAATCGAAGAATGGATAAAGGAAGGAAGCCAAGAAAAAAAGGGGTGGAAGCCGGGAATGCACGATACCCGTATAGAATGTGGCAAGAGACCCCCTGTTCCACCCCTATATGGCTCTTCGGTCGACTATTTTGCCCTGAAGGAGAATTTCCAACGATACTTTAGGCAAGGAGAGAGACCACTGACTTAACTGTCTGCAATATGGACCATTTGTTGGCGTTCCTCATCCTCTAGGGAACATTGCATCCGTTTCATTTGTCAAAAGAGGGTCAAAGCAGTAACAGTGTATTAGACTTACTTTTTTTTTCAGAGGGCACGGTAATGAATCCTGCAATCTGATTGGTTCTTTACCCTGTCAGTATTTTCCTATCTCTGCCTACAGGCAACAGCAATGCTTTGGTGAGTCGCCAAGTACATTCCTACTTTCGTTGCCATTTTTCATAAATATATCTCGTTTCTCCGGCTGAGCAGTATTTTTAACCAAAGACATCTGTCACTACCTCGAGCTGATAAATAACTTATTAATCCTCTCTTTTCACTCTCTTTTCCCTCTCTCAAATTACTTTGGTTGACAAAATATTGGTTTCAAAATTAATTTGTATAAGCAATAGTGTCATTACGTTGGTTGACAAACAGCCTAAAAACCATCTGCAATTAATTTTAATCGTTCACAAAAAGTACCTAGAAAGTTAAACATGAGGTATTTGGTTACAGTTGAACTAACCGATGAACTTTCATTCATTTAATATCTGAATTTTCTCAAACAATTTGTTCGTAGTGAATGGGCAAGCGAAGTTTTAATTTCAGTTCTACAACAAATTTATGCTCTTGGTGAGTCTTTCCAAGTCCGTTCAATTTGGACATTTTAACCGTAAATTGCACAACAGAAACTGAAGGAATTCAATTAAAAAAGGCCACATTAAATCCCCTTGTGCCTTGTTGGATTGTATCATTTGAATTTAATTTCATGGAAGAAAGACCAAATTTACACACGCCATTGCAGGAAAGAAACGAGCAAACTCTCACAACTTCAAAATAAAAAATTTGAATTTAATTACAATTACTTACCTCACCGTTTACCTAATGAACAGAGGTAAATATTCGTACATGAATTAATCTTCGATGAGTGAGTGTCTGCAATGCACTGTTACTAGATATATAAAGTTCTATGGCCACCAACGGTTAAGTTCATCGTAGTGGGCCAGATTAGTTTCGAAAGACTGCAAAGTCCTTGTGCCAGGCAGGTGCCCTGCGGGTACAATTTGGCTTGTGGAGACCATTGTTGCCGTCAGTGGCAGTAGTCTCGTTGCAGTAGTGTTGCTGGTGATGCTTTGCCAATGCTAGTGCACGAGTATCACCTCCAGTGTCATAACGGGGCTTCAGGAGGCTTTCTGCAATTGGCAACAGGGTTCTGCATTGGCGCCCTAGGAGACGTTGTGCTGGGCTTGTTCTGATTCCTTCTGTAGGTGTGTTGCACCAGTCAAGCAGAGCGAAAAACTCTGACTGACCAGAGTCCTTACATTTCTTAAAGAGTCACTTGACGGTTTTAACGCCATTTTTGGCCTTGCCGTTGGATTGTGGGTACTTGGGCGATGATGTCACATGATCAAAACCCCATATGCATGAAAAACCTGAAAACTCAGCTGAGGAGAGCTGAGGACCATTGTCAGTCACAACGACATCTGGTATGCCAAACCACGCAAAGACTGCTTTGAGCTCCTTTATGATGGACCGCATAATGGCCTCCAAGGGCTTGTGATCAGTTTCATCCCTGACACATCTCTGCCATAGATGTATGTGTCAAATCTTTCACACGCAAAAAGGATAGCCGATAGCTCTTCCTCGATCTGAGTGCAATGGGTCTCTGCTGATGTGAGAGTCCTGGATGCATAGGCCACAGGCTGCCCTTTCTGCAAAATGGTGGTTCCTAGGCCCGACTGCGATGCATCACATTGAAGGGTCACTTCATCACTGAGGTTGTAGTAATGGAGGATTGGCGTGCATGTGACTGCTTCCTTCAGTTGGTTAAGTGCAGTGTTCTGTGTGTAGTCCCAACACCACTTGGTATCCTGCTGTGTCAGCTCTCGTAATGGCTTTGTCATGTCCGACAGGTTGGGGAGAAATTTATTGAGTTACTGTACCAGGCCCAGTAGCCTCTGCACTCCAGCCTTGTCTGTGGGGGCTGGCATATCTCGAATGGCTTTGACTTTGGCAGGGTCCACTTGTAAACCATCACCTGTTAACACATGGCCAATGAAGGACACCTGTGTCTGTCTCAGTTTTAGCTTTTCAGTGTTCAGCCTTAGCCCCCAATCCTGGCACAGCTGAAGAAACGCCATCAGTGTCTTGTCATGGTCTTGTGCCGCTTGTTCCATGGTCTCCCATAACCAACAACGACAAAATCGTCAGCTACTACTTGAAAGTGGAGCATCCCTTTGATTAGTTAATGCATTCTTTGCTGGAATACTTCTGGGGCTGATCGGATCCCAAAAGGCATGTGCTTCCACCAATATCGGCCAAAGGGAGTGTTGAAAGTGGTTAGGTCGCACGAGCTATCATCTAGTTTGACATGCCAGAAACCGTTTCTGACATCTAGTTCTGCAAACACCTTGGCAACACGTGTTGCTACATCTTCCATGGTTGCGAGAGGATAGTGTTCTCTCTGGATCGCTTGGTTTAAATCCTTCGGGTCCAAACACAACCTCAATCTTCCGTCCTTCTTTGGGATGACCACAAGGGAACTGACCCATGGCATTGGTGCTGTTACAGGAGCGAGTATGTCATGTTCTGTCAGATGGCGCAGCTCTGACTTAAGCTTTTTACGTACTGACATGGGCGCTCGACAGGGGGGATGCTGTACGGGACTTACAGTGGGGTCAATTTTGGTGTGATATTTGCCATCAAGTTGCCAGACTTCTTCTGCAAAGACTTCTGGGAACTTTTTGATGAGACTTTCCTTTGACATGCCAATTAGATTGTCCTCCACTGAATAAACTGATGCGTTTCCAGTTGTCAGCTTGTTAATGGCATCATTATCAGTATACTTAACGATGTTCATGCCAATGCACGCCTTTCGTCCTAGAATGGGACAAATGTTTTTGTTGTCGACTATCATGCAGTCTAAACGGTAGGTAACATTGTCACGCCATACTCTTAGTGTAATTTGACCAACCACCAGAAGCTTTGAGCCACCATAAGCTGATATCGCCAAGTTTGTGGGTTTAATCTGTTTTAGGTCAGGATCATTGACAGCTTTCTTGTATAAATGAACTGGGATAACATTGCACTGTGCACCAGTGTCTGGCTAGAAATGCAGGTAGTTCCCAGATTCAAAGCCCAACGTTACAAGCTGTGTGTCATCAAGCGTGACAACTGCAATCTCGCTGATCACATAAATTTTGTCTGAATCATTGCCATGGTTTGTCTCTTGGTCAATAGCCTTAACGCTTGTGCTGCTTTCTGTGTCTCAGTGCTTTCCACTTTGACAAACGGCTGCAAAATGGTTAAGTCGATCACAGTTGCCACATAGTTTACCACGAGCAAAGCAATTATTTGCCTTATGTATCCGCCCAAAATTTCCGCATTCCTTTGTTGACTCGCCGGTGTCTCCTTTCTTGCCACGTGGACGCCAAGGTTTCTTGTGAAAATTTACAGCACTCACTGTATCTCCCTCACTGACCTCTTTTAGTTGTGCTG